AAGTAAATAAGAAATTTGTGGTGTATTTAGTAAATTTTGTAGTGGTAATATAATTACCCTTTTTTAAATAACTATGTAAAAGTGAACATTTTTTACAATTTTCTCAAAAAAAAAATAAATAAAAAAAATGAAGGGCATATTGAGAAAAACTGAAAAAGACAGTGAATCTTCATTGGATTATGAATGCGTACGAGAATTGTCTGGTTGTTATACAGCTATTGAAAGAAGCTTTTGTAACAATGACAAATCAATTTAATTATAAAAAAAGGTCGTCATGGGTCTCAACTATTCAAAAATAGCCCAAGAATTATTCTAGACGACGCACATGGATGACCGCGGAGATGACTGTGCCCTCACAGCCAAGGCGAGGGTCCCACCTGAATAAAATAATCCCAACCCCCATGTGTGTGTGCGCGCGGTCACCGGCGCGGTGATCATCACAGTTCCTGTAGCATGGCCCATAGCCTAATGCCATTTGCCAGTTATTGATTTACATGACAGGTGAAAATGACCCAAACTTTGAAAGTTTTTTTTTTTTTTATCGAGTGAATCAAGTCATGAAGGTTGAGTTTATTCATGCCTCGTTAATGATTTGATTGGAACAAGTTGAGCTCGTGACATAAGCTTGTTGAACGTACAAGAATGTGTGGTTACAGAAGTTTTTTTTTTTTGATATGAGTGTGGTTACAGAAGTTAAGTTTGGGAAGTCCACCTTGATTTTTAAAGGTTTTCTTTCTGAAGATAAAGTTGGAACTCGAGACTCCTACGAATGAAAAGCTCGAGCAAACCTACATGAACCCCGCTACAGTGATCGAAAATGGATGACATGCGGTTTGACATCATCTCACAATGAGGGGTGGCCCACTTTGTCCTGATGATCAATTCCCATGTCGTAATCAGGAGCTTTCGTTGCCGATTCCTGCCCATTTACACATTACCCACCCCACCCCGCATATAGATACGTCGATATGTACACACACACGCACGCACACATATACTTTCATAGAGCATTGAATGGGATATTGATTATAGAATGTGGTTGAAAAGAAATAAACATTGTGCTTTGACTTGAAATCTCTGGTTTTTTATTTTGTTTTTTCTGAAATGGCGGTTAATTCAAGCGAAGAGGTGAGATTTCTTAACATGGGTTTCTTGTTATTGCGTATTTTTTGCTGTAAAATTGCTGTTTTTTTAAAGCTTCATTGTGTGATTTAATTTT